ATCGCCCTCACAGACCCAAGAGCAGCAGATACCCTCCGCGTGTTCCTGTCCAGAGTCTGAATGCCCCTCGGCTTCGGGAGCTTGTCAAAGTCCTGCTGCCATGCGACAATCTTGTCCTGTCGGAAGGATCGAACTTGATTCAAAGCGAGCGTATCAGTCGGAGCCGACTCCTTATAAATGTTGTTGATCAACCGAGCAATCTCCTCTCTCTCATCTTCAGCGCGTGTAATGAGGTTGTTGATATCGGCAAGGAGTTTTGCATCCTGCTCTTCATCACCAGTGGCTGCATCAATGCTGATGAGCTTGAGATCATCGACAAGAGCAGTGTACCAGATAGTATTCCGGCGGTGTAGCCGTTCGTAATCTGCATTCTTGAGCTCCAGCTGTGACTCTGGACGGATGCAAATGCGCATAGCAGGGTAGACAACCTCGTGGATGGTAACAGGATCTGCCTGGAACCGCACCGTCATTCCCTTCGTTGCAAAGTACCGGATATGGTGTTGGTAGATGTTATGTTGGCAGCCGGCGCCCTGAACAAGCTGTACGTCCGCGGGGTAGAAATGCAATTCCAAGAACTTTGCAAAGGAATACCGCTGCATCTCTTCGGAGATGGGAATGAATGGGGTTGCTGAGCCACACACCCGACAAGCGCTCCAAGTCGTGATGGTTTCCGGAGACGGATAGAGATGCGGACCCCTAGCCTTGATCTGCCCATCCCACTGCTCAACAGCAACTGCAAGTCTGGTTTCGTTATGCACAAAAACCTTACAATGTCTCGCAAGTGGCTGGTTGCATCCTTTCCCAGTGCAAATCGCTTTCGGGTCAAGGAACCGGACCAGCGTCTCGTTAACGCTCTTCTCAATGAACTGACCCAGCGTGCAATCGTTCTCGCCATAGAACTTGATATACTTCAATCCAGGAGCGAAACAGGCGCGATGAAGACCAAATTCTTCGATCGGGATGGTGTATTCCCAAAGGCTAATGCATTGGTACTGGTCAATCACGAAATCATCAGCGTTCTTGCGGAGGTACCATTCCCAAATACGTCGCTGCTCTTCGTGGCGATGCTTCACCATACCTAACTGGCTCTCCAGCGCAATGTCCGTAGCGGTCTTGAGGGGAATCAAATGGTCTTTCTCGCCAGGATCGATGAGGCGGGGGGAATGGAAGAACGATGTCCCCCCAAGGACATGCAATGTACTTGGCTGAGGCTCGAAGTAACCAGCGGGTTCCTCTCCGAGCTCAGACAAACCAGAAGTAGGTGTTTTCGGAAGATCGGGGAGTGGGAGTGCTTCAATTTGGGCTTTCACATCGTCCACGTCTGGTTCGATTCTGGACACAGTGGCCGTTGCCTCACTTGCAGGGGTGGGGGTTCCCGAAGGAGCCTTACTATCATTTTTAACAGGGCCTTTCTCCTCTCTTCGCACAATCTCGTCTTCCCAAGCGCGTTGTACATTAGTAAGCTCGTCATCCAACTCCTTCATCCTCCTAATAGGCTGAGGGGGAGGAAAGCGCAGAGTGGCAGAAACGGATATGAAGGTCTTGATGTACGGCTCCAGTGACTGCTGGATTCGTTTCGAAAGACGAAGGCGCTCGGCATCAGCATCCGGAAGATCATCTTCAGCTTCTTTGATCTCCGCCTCCTCTGCTTTTTGCCGCTCCTTATCCTCTGGTATCACAAGATGCACCAGGGACACCGATGCGGGCACAAGACCACCAGGGTTCGATACCGTGCCAGATCCCTCTGCATACCTCTTCGTAGCCCCGCCTGCCGGTACTGCCTCTGCACTCAGGCTAGGAAGCGTGATCACGGAGTCCTTCCACAGGTGGGTCTCCAGCTTCAAGTTCCTCACGACAAACATCAAGAATCTGGTCACTTTCTTAACCTTCTTGAGCATATCTACATCCCCTCCTCTCAGGATGATGGTGCACCCCAACTCACGGCTGCATCCCTCAAACCGCATATAGGTCTTCCGTTGCCCTGGGATCAGGGGGTGGTCGAAAGTCTGTACGCGGAACCGCGAGCAATGACCTAATCGGGGCTCTAAAGCAAGCTTATCGATCGACGAAAAGACATCTCCCTGAGTCATCCGGGCCACAAATTGGATCGCGGTAGGCTTTACAGCGCGAGCGACGGCGATATTATGCTTCGCAAGCCCTTCGAGTGCAATCCTGCTCACAGACTTTTCCACCAACACCACGTGCGGTCTGAGCGCTGCGATCCTGCTCGCCAAGTTTCCGAGATACTCCTTTTCCTGTCTAAGAATCTGGCCAAAGTGGACATATTGGCCCTCGACCCGATGAAACTCAAGTGGGAAGGTTACGAGCATGACACGGGGATTACGTTGCATACGCGACATTTGCTTGTGGGCAACGTTCTTGGTTATAAACGGCACCATCAACGTATTCCGAATCACTCGGTGCGCCACCGGGTATCTTTTTGATCTTGACATATCGTCGAACATCCATGTCTTCGCCTTGGTGGTATGGAAGGGCAGTGAAAGTAAGTTCTTTTGCGACGCGAAGGGCAAGCTTCAGCAGGGTTTCTTCCCATTCCTTGATGTTCGGGATCTGCTCTGTCGTGAGCATTTGCCGCAGCATGACGCGAAGGTGGAACATGGAAATTAGGTTAAGCTCTTGAGCATAACTAAGCTCGTGGTATGAGATCATGCAAGATAACTTATATTAAATTTTAACTTACGCGGTAGAGTCTCGCCTCGTGCGCCAACCTTCAATAGTAGGGAAGCTATCGAGCCGACTATGGGCTCGGCTCCTGATAAAGGGCGTAGCAACATCAAAATCACCAAAGCTGCTGAATCTGGAGCGCATGGTATTGTAATTTCCGGGACTGTCCGACACGTGTTGGTCCGGAGAGCTCAAAGGAAACTGAATTGAGCTCATCGTGCCCTCGACATTGATTGGTACAGTGACTGGAAAGTCAACCGGGGTCTTTGATCGAGGAGCCACAGCAGCTTGTACGGTATTTTTGCTGAAGTTGGATATTGAGGGAGGATCCTTCTCGTCTTCTGAGAGGTTCCGTCGAAAGGGTGCTGTACTCTCGCGGACAGGCTCCCACTCGGCGAGGGCAGTAGACACAGAGTCATTGTCAGATATCAGTCTCTTTGTCTCAGCAATGGAATACAGATTAAACGGTTCGTCCGTCCTTCCGAACAGCTGGGATGCGGCGAATGGGGACTGCGGATGATGGCCGAGACTGAGCGCGAATGAATCGCTGCCAAACTGGTGGGCAGGGAATGGAGAAGCTGTAGAAGAGACAACAGAACGCCTGTCATCGTCATCTTCGTCTTCAACCTTTGCAAGTTTCTCGAGACAGAGATTGCACACTCGAACCATGCCGTCATGACCGAACCTGGAACCTTTAATGATATTCGATGCACAACGCGAGCAGAATATTTGGCCTGCACTTGGATGAGCGGCAGGTCTGAATTTGAAAGTTAGGGTACATACCGCATATACGACAATGATGTTTGCGTCGCCATGTTGTGAATACGCTTTTGCAATCATAACACTCCCTTGCATTGGAGTCTTCCATCCAATAATCACGAGAGAGACCTGCAACAGTGTTAGAAGTAGTTAAGAAAGGATCTGTATATCTACCTTCACCGCGAATACGACGTATAACTTTGGATACAGAGGCAGACCGGTTTAATGAAGCAGTAGTGCGTATGCTACGCGCATCGTCCTGAATGGGAAAACCAGGGATAGCGGTACCAAAGAGACCGCCGTCTGGAGTCTCATATACAGGAGTATATTGGCCACTACGTGAAGGCGAGCGGTCTAATTCTGTACCAAAGGATGGTGGATCTGACACGACTGGCGTCAAGGATACGAGGGGTGGCGCAGTTCTGGATGGCACGACTGTCAATGATGACGGACGCTCAGGCGCAGAAGACCGAGAAGAGAAGGCGGATGCGTTTACGGAGGCCACGGATGGACGTTTCTGTTCGCCTGTAAGGGCTCCAAGAGTGCCATTGGGAGGGGGTAAGAGAGTGGAAGATGTCAAGGGCGCAGCGAAGCTATTCTTCATACGTGAAAACAAGGAGGTCACAAGAGCATAGGATGAATAATCGTTTTCATCTTCTTCTGAGAAAGGATTGAAGGAAGTCAATGAGGTGACGTCGTCACCAAGTTTCGTGCTACTCCGGGACCTTGACGGAAGACCGGAATGGATGCTCTGGACTGGAGAATAGGTTAGTGGTGATTCCATCTAACAAGTCGGTTGTAGTTCGGGATCACAAAGTAGAATAGTGGAGCTGCCTACTACGCCTTTAGCCTCTCCACTATCGGATGAGCATAGTGCATAGACAAAGCAGTTGAAACTAAAGGCGGTTGGTTGCCTTATTAGGTAATTCAATTACTAAATCCATTCTTGTGTGCTCTTATTCTCTTGCCACCATCAAGTCAACGAAGTACCAAGTCATTACAGGGGATCACAGAGTACTTCCATTACACGAAGGTTTGACCACTTCCGATATCGTGCACGCTGCGGCACGCGTCTACGACTGATAGCAAAAGTCTCTTTAAGACCCCCCTCCCCGTATTTTAATGCGGCCCTGCCCCTGGTTAATATTAATATCATTGACCAACGCGATGTGACTGCCCTTCGAATCGAACGTTCAATAACCTTTTATGTCTCATGATAGAAGCCAGTGGAGGACGCTCTCACCTTCAGGGTCATTCACTTAAGTATAACTTTTCGTCGAGCCCCTCATTACGCGGTACATGATGTCCCTGGATGATCATTAAAGGGTAGATGTTCTTTGGAGCACCGCGGGTCCTCGCCTCTTCTTGCAGATACGATACACTCCAACCAACGGAAAATCGACGGAGGGACCCTCAGCGCTACAGGGGAACTTTATGTAAATGATAAACCCGCAACTTACTTGAAAACAAATAAGTTGAAACAACTAACTACAGCTAGTACATACTGGCCGCAGTACTTGCGCTATTAGTAGCACCAATACAAAGTTCTTTTCCTCATGGCACATCGCCAAGAACCACCGCCCATCCAAGAGAACGATCCATCTGAGATCGATCCCATATGGACGTCAAGCCGTACAGCACGCCAGATTTACGCTTTGGGTGAAGTCGAAAAAGTAAGCCGTAACGCGTACCGCATGGAGGGCGCACCGCTCACAACTATCCCCCACTACTAGGACATAACCCGTCTCCTATCCCTTGCAGCGTCATCCGTCTCGCTGCTCACTCTCCCCCAGACGGATGAGCCCGATGACAACCTCCCTCAGGGAGAAGAGCGCTCAGAGCAATTCGTTCTAGAAGTGAGCGAGTACTTTGAACGGCTAGACGTCAGTCGACTTCTCGTCACACATCTCAGAGAAAATCTCAACTCAATTTCCGCAGTCAATTCAAGTAGCTATTCGCTCTTCACTGGCTCACATACGCCAGTCACGAATCGCACCATCCGCAATCACAGCTCCCCCTCTTGGTTTTGTTCCCCCTTCACTTGGTGTCGGTCTTCCGAGAGCTACAGGGACCAGAGGCCTGCAAGAAGAGCGCACCGATCGAGATGCATGGGTAGGCATTCTCGACGCCCTCACACGCCTCAAGACGTCACAACAGCACGAACAACTACCAGTGCACACTTCCCCACACCACGCAATGAATACATGAGTCCAACTAAACTATAACGAGCTGCACGTCTATGCCGAGACCTTCGAATCCAAGTGTCTAATATAATGCAATCAAAAGTCAGGTTCATACCATCGCGTGATTTTCCAGGTTTACAGCCGAGACTTACACGCTCGCCTCCTCCAGTGCTTCCTCGGCATGCAGGAGCTCGATATCTTCCGCAAACTCAGGTTGGGACTTGACTCGTAGCTTCCAAAAGACGCGCACATCAGGGGTAACGCAAGGCAAAGTTAGAAAACGACCGAAATACGCACGACGAGTTCTCGTAGATCTTGTACCGCCTTGCCTAGACGGTTATCAGAATCCTTGATCATCCTGTGTGACTCTTCCAATATCCTTTTCTGATCGGCGTATTGTCATAAACATGAGCTTCAGCTGGTGATGAATGTAAAATGACTTTTGTCACGCACGGCACTTTTCAAGTCCCACTCTTCAGCTTTATTGGCGATAAGCTTATCGAACGTCCGCTGTTGCTCTTCTGCTTCTTTTGCATACAGGATGTGTTCCTTCAAGAGCCTGAGAAATAGTGTTAGCGCTCTGTGACCCCAGAGTCGCGCTATTCCTGCCTTTTGGACACGCCAGACTTGATGTTCAGCTGGCGGTGAATGGCCGGCTTGTTTGACATAGTAGTTGGAGTAGTATAGTCTGACTAATTATAATGACAAGGAACTCAAAAGGCCTTATCGTTGCATCCAGATCGACCTCATCGATAAGGCCATAGCTACCGCCGACCATCATGTGAGACAAGCAGCAGTCGATCAAATTCTTTCCTCATTCACTATTCTTGGCATCCTTTCAGAAATTCTGTTCAGAAAAGCGGAAACATCGATTCATTGCTTGAGATATAGTATGACAATTCTACATAAATGCAGTACAGCTCGCGCTCGCCGGTGCAAGGCAAGTACAACTAATACCTACAAGAAGCTTGACGGAGAATCGACAATGATAGCGCGTGTAGAAATAGCGACAATGAGACATGATAGCGGGGCGAGTAACAATGTGTGATATGCGGCGATGTGAACCAGAGCGTGAGGATAATCGAAATGTCAGGAATGTCGACGACCGGTGCATCCAAACCCGCAAGCGGAAGTGGACAGAACGTCAAGAACTGCAACAATGACCAACTCCTAGATCGCCGTATGCATCGGGCGCTCAAATCCTCCTCAATGCACGCTACACTTGACTGGCAAATGAGGTACAGAGGATGACGAACTGCTCTGAGGCATGGAAATGTCGAAGTGGAAAATGTAGGCGGTGCTCGTAAACAACCTTCAAAAACAAAAAAGCTCCGCTGCGCCAACCACAATTGCGGCACTTGCACACAGACATGCAATGCTGTGGTCGCCATGTGTTATCCGCGAGATAGCTTGATGATCTCGCGAAAAGGGTAGCGGTCACGAAATAAGCGGTGATCAGTCGCCGGATCATGACAAAAGGTGATAAGTAGGATGATAATAAAACATGCCGTGCGTGCTAGATGCGGAATAGTCTTCGTAGAGGACGGAAATGAATAGCTACGTAAGAAACACCCATTCCAGAAAGGCAAGGATGCCCGTGAGAGTGTTGCCACTGATGATGCGCCTGTGTATCGGCGTGCACGAGGCACGTACCACAATGAAGTGGTCGTTCGTCTCAGTGCAAGAAGGATGAAATGGAACGGAAGGGGGGAACAGAGGATGGCGTGATAACAAGAAGCTCACGCAGATGCGGCGAAGCGTGCACACCACTTGGGTGTAGCTGCCTCGAGCTGCATTGCGGTCTTGTGTCGTATCGTATTCTCCACACATCATCCGGATCCAGTCGGTATCCAATCTTCATCGTCAGGGTTTCCTGCTCGTCGATGCATAGCAGTCGACGTACGAGCGGCGCAAGCGCCACTACGCGATCCTAAACCTGTCCGAAAATGAATAGAACGTCACTAGGACGTTCAAAACGCTATCCATGCAACGCAGGAAGACATAACGATGCGTATGAAGTTCATAACCAGTGCAAAAATAAAAAATGCGTGCTAAGTGTCCGTTGAGTGTGCGTAAAACCTGTAGTCCGGCGACAGGCGTTCCAGTGTCGTATGATCATGCGAATAAACAATGCTGATAATGTAAACCGACGGTGCTTTTTTCATGAATATTTCGAGCGATCCCATGTCAGCACAGCAATCAGAAATTTGACTGTGATTGCTGAGATACTGCTGCGACTGCGGCGGCAGCAGCGGCGTGACGTTGCTCAGCGGTGCCGAGCATCAACGCCTCATTGACACTAAACAGAAGGTTAGATAGTAGTAAAGCAGCGGCGATAAGTAACTCACGAGCGAAGTCGCTGTACTTCGGCCTCAGCCTGTTGGAGTCTCGTCTGGAGTTGTTGAGCGGTCATCTCGAGGTACTTGACGTGAGTCGTAGCGCGGTCTAGGAGCGAGACCTTGCTAGACTTCTGGTTAGAGACCGGAAGAGCATCCTTGAGTCTGCGGTAACCGTCCCGAAGTTCATCACGACGCCTCTGCTCTGACTCGATGCGTTGACGACGAATTGTCTCGCGGCGCATGTCAGTGCTGGCGTTAGCAGGGATGGAGGGCTGGAAGTCATCATCCTCATCATCAGAGTCGTCATTCCTTGACTTTCTCCGCGTAGCCTTGGTGGCAGAGCGCGTGGTAGGCGCCGCAATGGGGTTGAAGCGGTGCGACCGCGGCACGGCAGCGGAGTAAGGAACAGAGTGCACGGAGGAAGGGGAGTGAGTCCCGCTTCCACGGCTACGCCGGCCTGAAGTAAGGCCGTCCGACGAGAGCTCACCAGCGCTGAGAGAGTACACAGCGGGAGGCGAGATGCCGTTGTCGGGGGGCGTGTAGGGGCGCCCTGGCGAAGCAGTCGTGTACGACGTGCTCGAAGAGTAAGAATACTCGCCGATTGAGTTCGTAAGGTTCAACGAATTGAAGTCCAAGCGAGGGGACGAAGACGAGGGTCCAGGGACTAAAAATAGAATACGATTAATTGTTGTACTCGTGGGAACATGAGTCATTCAATACTAACGGGACATCGTGGAGACCCCATAGGGGGACTGGGGGTACTGCAAGTACGGCTCGAGGTTGGCAATCGAGTCATAAGCAAATGGGGTATCCATGAAGTTGGGGCTCCGGGGGTGCTCGAGAAGAGTTGATTCCATTGCTGATTGAAACTAAAAAAAAAAGCGATGTGTCGGTGTACGGAAGGTGGGTGCTTGCACTGCAGCTAGGTAGAGATGATCGTCAAAATAAGCTGACACTTGAAATATGCTGGGACTATGATATTGGGTTTGAACAAAAGGACTACAAAGAATAATAAGGACAAGAACGTACCGGAGCCGACTGCACAATAGAACAACAGAGCTGAAGAAAGAAAAAAAAGTCGGAGCTGGAGAACAGGAAGGTAGTCGGAATATGAGGATTTGAAGAAAAGAAGGGGATGAGGAGACTTGTTAGTTTTTTGATTCCGTCTAAATATCCCTGGCATAAATGGCTTGGGATGACTATTTTAGGAATGTAAATCTCACGTTACCGATTTAGAGGGTATGGTATTCCCGCTGTGCCTCGTGTTTGTGCCTTCAACCCTTCATGGCCAAAAATGACTTCGGGATTTCTAGTCCCTGTCTTCTTCTTTCTAGAGCGGTTCCTATCTTTTCACAAACGGGGCTTTCATTGACACGCATCTCTTCCCACTCAAGTCTCCTTAGTCTAGTAATTACTGCCTCATTGCCCGGATCCTTTCCTGAGCCAATCCTAACACGGCCAGCCCCCACTTGCCATCAGATCATCAATTCCAAATCAGCTACAACCCGCTCTCCATTTTGTCCGTAATTTGTATCATCCATTTCCTTCCATTGCTAAATTGTCATGTCATCTCCATTCTTTCACTTCTTGCCCGTTACCCAACCCTTTCTCCGAGCGTCAGTCATGCTCACCCTAGACTAACTCATGATCGTCTAGCCCATTTACCACCCATAGCGTTCTTCATGTCGCTTCCTACGATTCCTTTGGGTTCGATTCTGGTCCCCCCAGAACTCCAAGTCCCGATCATACCGTTCGCAACCCTGATGCGTTGCATTATCATCTTGCTGTGCCCGCCGCGCCGCGGCTCGGCCAACTTGTAATGCCCTGCCTGGCCGGTGACACCATAATCTAGATCCGGCTAGCCAAGTAAGGGCGCTCTCCGGTGACCCTAGCTGCCGCCCGTGTTATCGAATCGATATCTGTGATTTTGCTTCAGTCTGTCCTCAAATTCGGTTCAATCTTTTTTTTCTCAACATGAGGACAAACCTCACAACGTTTCGTTCATCCCCCCGCTACTCGCGCTAAACCTTATAAATTTCGATCCATATCCATGCTCCGATCACTAGTGACACTTTTCTCGGCAACTATTGGTATAATTTAATATGTGCTGTCATGCAAAGCTAGTTTTGAATTCACCCACTTGTGACTGATCACATGAGCCTCGGAAGGTCTCCTGTGTAATTGTGATCACCCAGCCGATGTAAACGCACTATTGAAACACCTTTTCTCTAGGGCTTAAGGCGTTGGTAAACGCCACGAAGCAATGTCGTCACCTCAACCTTCCCTGATAGTATCGCGGCCGTAAGTCAGAACCTTCATCGTAAAATGACACCACAAGACAATTACCCCCTTTCATGTCCATAAGGCGCAGTTATTATATTCCAGTGGTGTTACGCCGTGGGTCCATGTTTGGTATGTGTCTGTGTATTTGGAACACCTTGTCTACAGCCGAGCGCGCGTTCTCTTTTAGATAGTCCAGAGAATAGTGCGGGCCTTTCCCGCCAATCAGCGGGCTCGCATCAGATCTGACGAATCCAGTATTAACGTACGAGTTAGTCCAAGTGAATAGATGCGTGATGCGTGACTTGAGAATGGAGGATGATCAATCAGCATCAGATGACGTTAGCGAGGGGACGTAATTAGACTTTAAGCAAAAACACGCACCAGAGGCGATGCCTGCTTCACTTACACAGCTGTCAGGTCCGACCGTCTCGCACAGACCTAGAGGGCACGACCACAGTTGTGTACTAACGGACCAATGCGATAGAAGAATTTCGTTACAGCGGCATTCATATCCCAGTAGATGGCTAAACCCTGCATGAAACCTCTGCCGTGTGGAACGGATGAGTGGGAAACCTTTCGACTGATCACAAGAACACAGCCGCGAAGTAGGAAGCATGTATGTGCACATGGATATTCCGGGTGGACCAAGAGACGGCCGGATGAGTTCGCAGAGAACAAGCAGAGTTCAATATGTCCACTTGTGCCAAGAAAGAAGCACAAAGGTGGTCACGCATTCCAGTGCATCATTCCACGACGCCTAGACTTTCCTCGGATCGGAGGATTGTGAAGACTTCGCTCGCCGGGGATCTACAAACAGCTTCGCCCGCGTATGTAGTACTACAGAGACCCCGCCGCTTATCATGAAAGCAAGAAGCAAAGTTGAGGTGAAAATAGGAACGCCGTAAGCAAAGCGCATCAGCTGCGAGGCCCCTGCAAAAAGAATCGATAAGACTGTAGCATCAGCCTATCAGGAAGCCTCGTTGTGGGTGAACGAAAACCATGTAGGATCGACGGTTAAAATTATTGATTCTAGTGCACGGAGAAAAGTAAGCGATTAGTTTCATGAGTAGAACTTATCGTGGGCCGTATCAAGCCTTGTGATTCCGTTCCATTCTGGAAGCATTGAACAAACAATGGCGATATGAAGGCAAGGCCCCTAGATCGGTAGTTTACTATATCGCAGATTGAGCGCAGTCGAGAGTGTCCAGTCACAAGTCAGAACCGCAAATCAGTTCCTCGCTGTGTTCATAACAAATCGATGGAGTTGTGGAAGAGCTAGCGTATTGCGTTTCGGGGAAAGCTGTGGAGCCTCGTCGAGTATTCGGGTGGAACCAACTGAAACGCAAGCGTGATGGTAAGCGAGTGACGGCCTTCTTGTCACGAGCGTGATAGCCAACCTGCCTTGCCCCCGCAATGCCCCCGCGTCACTTTCAGCTTGAGAGATCGCCTTTCCGATTTGTTTAACAACACGAGGAGATCTGACCTGATCATCCTAGCAGGAAAGGTGATATCCACCCTACCCATGGGTACGTGATGCGGGCTCAATATTCAATCGTCATCACTGCAGGCTTGGACCATCTCGTTAAAAGCACTCGGTCTCACGATCCAATGCATTTGCATAACGGCGTGTTTCAAAACTCTACTTTGCTGAACTTTGTATAGAGTGCGCGCTATCCTGGTCGAAGCAATCTCAGCTTCACATTAGTTTTCAAGTCCGCTGCGCATTGCGCAAGTTCTTGTGATCCCTCTAGATCTATTCCCAAAGGATCCTGATCATCTACTCGTCGATATGGACAACTCCTCTTGACTATATAACGTTTTACACTGATCAGGATGTCTTGCGTCACCCTTTCACGTCTATGAAAAATAAACATCCGTTCTCTCTGCGCTCAATGGAACTGCCGATAGAACTTCCTCACTATCCAGATTCATCTCCGCTGAACTTATCAGACCCCCATTCTGGAAGGAGCCGTCTACCTACTGTTTTTGAGGGTGCTTCTCTCAATCGGCGATAGTTTTAAGATTCGGAACCGGTGGAGTTCCTCCTCGAGTTTCGGCGTCGAGGACTGCATTTTGTTAGCTCCATTGTATGGGGATAGGCTAGCCCCCCGTAGAAATTCAAAAATATTACTTACCATCCGGCAAGTACCAAATGTCTCTCTAGCTCCCGGATCATCATGATGCAGCGACTGATATAAATGCATTCGCATCAGTGGAGAAGAACTCCCCATACTAAGAATATGAACTCAGTGTGCCCAATTCTGACGATACCTTATCCGAGGACTCCAGAGTCTATTTGACAGTGGTGTTAGAGCCCCGGCTTCCGGGGATCTTCTTTCTGCAGCCAATCGTGTATTACTAGAATTACGCGAAGTTAGAGGGCATTTCGCTTACTTTCCGCCACATTATATTTATGTGTCCTTGACGTGGAGCTGTGACTAGCAAGTGGGTCAAAAATCCGAGGGTTGTTTGGGACCGTGAACAAGCCGGAGCCTCCGACGCTGCCGGTATCCCGACAAATATACATGTATGATTGTCTGGATGTTCATCGAACGATCAAGTCTGAGATCGGTCGATCGTACTATTTTGCCCTTGGTCGAGGTCTGGACCAGCCTTGTACAAGAATGAGGACGATAGAATGATATAGAAAAACAGAAAGGCGTAAGGCGTTGAACAAACTACTGTACTGACTACAGATGATGGATCATATCTTCGGGGGCTGTTCTACAACTTCCTTCGGTAGGCACCTTTTTGCTCTAACCCTCTCCTAGAGAGGGTACCCGCGGCAGCAACAGCTTTCATCAAGAAAGCCCTAGATTAAATCCGTTCGCATCAACCGAAGAGACAGTTGACCATCGGGTCCAAAAGTACTTCGGCGAGCGGGTCATATAATTTTGGTGTGCCCTTTCCGTCGGTTCCCGTCGAGTGAGTTCGTGCAGTATTCGTCAAGAATGAGTTCGTTCAGTCGTGGTGAATTTCGTATCCTGCGGTCTTAGCAAGCCGCACCTATGATGTGTAATGGCGGGCAGGTGTGTAGACGCGTTACGTATGAGTGAGTGATAGGTGATGGATGAATAGGTAGTTAGATGCAGTCGTGAGAAGAGTGCAATACATGTTAGTGATAGAATGGGATGAGTGGCCCGAATACTTGGCGGTTGGGGATTAAGCTTTGAGGAAGCGACAGTCCGCTGGGGACTAGAGCATCCACGAGGTGATGTGAGGTGGAGACACGGTCTCAAACGCCTATCGATCAACGAGACTAAGCACGATTGGGGTAATCAAGCGCTTCCTCGGATCGAGAGGGGCGAGAATTCGTATCGATCCTGCAACATCAAGTTGTATGGGAGCTCGAAGGAGGGCGGATTGACAATAGTACTGCGCATAGCGCAGAAAACGTCACCAGCGCCTACTCCTCGACCTGCCTCCTCCAAAGCTAGATACCTCTCGACTTCTCCCACCGCTGAGCCGTAAAACACGAATAAGAAATACATGATGTGCAGTGAAACAAGATGCAGAAAATGATGAAAATGGATGGCAGCAGCGTCCGTTGGAAATGGCGCAAACCACAGCATCTCAGTAATCCGAGGCAGGACTGCGCGAATCCTCTCGCGGGGGCTGCTGGCCTTGAACATGAGCGAGAGAATGATTTTGCATCCCAGGCTCGGGGGGAGGCGACAACGGCCGAGCATCAACGCCATGAATATTTCCTGGCGAAGGGGAGCTGCTAGTGCCAAGCGAGATTTTCTCGTTGACGGCACGAAGGCGCTGCACCTCCTGCTCCAGCACAATAAGACGAGCCTGCATATCTTGTGTCTGTTTGTCCAGAAAGATGATATGATTGGTAGCTAAACGCCACAGCGTCAACATCCGGTGGCGAAGATTATCATTGATCGTCTTACCTCGCTCGAGTAGCGACACCTTGCTACTCTTCTGGTTAGAAACAGGTAAGACGTCCTTCAATTTGGCATAGCCATCGCGTAATTCGTCTCTACGCCTTTGCTCAGCCTCGATGCGCTGTCTGCGTGTTGCCTCCTTTCTGGTGTGAGCCAAGTTCTCTACGTATGTAGCGCCCATGTTGTCTTCGTCGTCTGAATCGTTTAAGGAACGAGCACGGCCACGACGCCCAGAAGAACTAGTGGTAGGGGAAGGGGTGGGGTTGTAGCGAAGAGATTGGCGATGAACTAAACTAGGTCCACGGGATGACGATGGGGAGCCTGTCCCGCTGCTGTTTCTCGAATGGTGGTGGTAAAGGCCGTCCGCTGATGTGTCAGATCCTGAAATGGGTGGGGACAAAGGATCGTACATGTGAGGTGAGGGCGGAGGGGGTGAGCCAGCAGGCAGATTCATTGACACATGTTGTGGCGATGAGGTATACACGGGTGGCGGATATTGATGCGTTTGATGCGTGGGCATGAGGCTAAGATTATGGAACTGCAGGCCTTGATGCAAGTCTGGCGCAGATAGATGGCCTACAAAGAATCAAGAACATGAGCACATTATCAGATCAACATGTGTTTAAGGTGAGTTTTGGCCTCGAGGATGAAAAAGTACCCACGAGGATGATGAGGGTTAGGATGCTGCACGACAGGAAAAGACTGCTGGTGCTGCATCGCGTGGTGGTTGTACGCGAGGCTGTAAGATGATTCTTGCTCGGCTGGATAGAATCCATAAGGACTTGCATGTCCGAGATTTTGGTTGTGATCATCGGTTATGTGCTGCTGGTGCTGGTGCTGGTGCTGATCCATTGGACTGCTGTGAAAAAAATCGTGGATGGGTCGTGGTACAAAATGAAAACTTGTAGCGCGCAAGTTTATCGTGAACTAAAAAGTAAAAAAGAGAAGAAAAGGGAGGAAGCTAAGAATCAAGTAACAATGGTCACCGGTCACCCCCAAAGTCTCCAGAAAGCGATCTCCTTCGCTAGCAAGCTACGGAACCAAACCGTTCATAATAATTCGGGCGCTTATTCTATCGCATTCCACCAGTTCCCCTGTTTGCCCTTTGTTTGCACACCATGGAGAACAATGCAGCTCTAGTATAGAGAACAAAAAATTATTCAGGTCTTACATCCCTCCCCCTCTCCTCCCTATTGTACCTAGAGTTCACCCAAACACCACTCTCGGCCCAATCCAAGCTGCCGGCACCGCTATGTATTTTTACCGTGCCTCGAGGCTACCGTGTGCACGTATATTCAATCACTGGCTGGATCTAAAAACACGGAACATGCTGCACCCAACTACGATTGCACATCAGCTGAGTCCACAGTGAACTTCTACAATATTTTGAACAACGAATTTCACAAATGTTTTTTTTCTCTTTTGATTTCGAATGACTCGGTTGTGGTGGAACGGCTGCCGACCCTCCGATCGTTCCTATCGATGGAAAGTCGATAATGAATTGATAGACAGCAACACTTCCGCCGATATTTCAACACCCCTTCATTTCCGGTTATATGGAGTTACTCGTTCGTGGACTAGGTCACCTGCTAAACACATCAGGGTTCTGGTGATTCTTGAGCGTCAACGGGGACTCACCAACCTTCCAGATTGTCGAGTCGTTAGAATGATGTCGAATGTCGAAATTTTCAAGAAATTTGATTGGGGATATTCACACACTAGAAGTCCAGGTACAACTTGATTGTGACTCAAGTATGTGGTCCTGTCAAGTGTTTCCTCAAGGTTGTTGCAGATACTTATCATCGTGCCGGGAGTAAGGGATTGCAAATGGACGGCTATTCTCCCGTATTTGAAGGTCGGCCATGGGAAATCACTGTCTTGTTAGGAGTAATATACCATTGCCGTATGAAGAATTGCAAGTTACCTCCACTACTCTGCGTCTGTTCTGCGATGGAGATTGTCAGACTTCGCAGTAGAATTGCAGGGTTCTGAGTGTCCGTCCGTCGGGTCCAGCAACAAATAGAGTCATGGTTGATAGCGTCCATATCCGAAAGAAAAATTGTTTGCAAATTTGAGCACCGTAACAGATAACTTGCTGGACGTCCATCGTGGCACTGTTCGCACTTCCATCGCTCGAACGGAGTGCTTTTGGAATTTGATGACGACTTTCTTGCATACGCAAATTTATGCGTCCAATCGAGAAGAATACAGCTTACTACTAAACCAAGATTAAGATCGTACTCAGGCTTCAGGTACAGCGTAACAGAGCTAAGTTAATGTGCGCTTCGTTGCTCCGTCTGAGCGTGCCCCTAAAAGCATCAGCACAGAAGAAGTCAAAACCATACCACCGGTCCATTCTACGGGAAAACGGCCGTCTCCCTTCCAGAAGAGCAGTCAAATGATCCATGTGAGCGGCTGGTTAGGGACGAGGATGACCCTGATGTTAGGGGATGGCGATGCGGCGGCTGCTGTGGCGGAGGAAGACGAGCATTGGATAGAAGTAGTATCAGCCTATCTTGCTTCTGCATATAGTTTCTTCGCCACTGGCATATGAGTGTGGGCGTACGCGACACAGTCACGCATAGCTGTGGACGTGGGATTGTTCTGGGAGCCATACTGGTCATTCTCATTGGTCACAATCGAGTAGATGGTATAAAAAATCACGGCTGCCATGTAGAACCTCTGCTTCCCAACGAAGAGTCTTTTACTGGTGCGCTGGTATCGCCAGTTGAATATTGCCTTGTGACATCATGATTGAGTGAGTTGCAGGTGCATGCTGTCCTGTCCAAATGTTACCAAGTCAGTTTCGATTAAATGAATATCCACAAACAATAGTTACCGGCTAGTGCTGATACGCTGGAATGACCTGCACCTGTATTTTTGGCTTGGATGGATTATTGTTAGCGTGCAGTTCACGTTGAATTGAGCGAGCACAAGCGAGGCCCGCTCTTAAGTATCTTTAAGAATGGGGGATAATGCAATGTATCGCTGAGATGTTATTGTGGATGCTATGCGGCCTTGTATATACTATAGAAGATCTTGCCCTTGTCGGCATTGAGCATATAGTCAACTTCGCAAACGCTGAATACAAAAGGATCTCCAAGTAGAAATTGTTTCTCACAGTCGTCAACGGAAAGTTTGCAAAGCTTTAAGCGTGCCCCATGTAGTGTACCCTCCGAGTCTTAAAGTTTGCTTTAAGGCCTAAGGTACGACTGGCCTTGACCTCGAGCGAGGACCACAGAGGACTCTTATTTTATGAAATTTCCTGGAATAATCACGCCAATGTTCGTTCATATATTTTTGAACTCCAAGACCGCCTTGCTGACCCTGCGTATGATGATGGGTTCAGAACACAATCACTTAGGTTAACGTTGCTGATTCCAACACCGCTCAGTGTGACAGCCAAGGACCAATTTACTCTCCTTGCCTCGTGCTGAGCTGCCTGGCCAGGAGGTCTAACCAGTCGACACCACTTCTTGTCAGTCAAAAGTCATGACAACAGAACATTCTCGTGTCTCTGGAAACCCATATAGTCTTCAGCCGGGGCAGTGGGCTCCGCCTCGTGCACCTTTACCCCCGCATCGTCTTGCGAAGATCGCTAATGCCCTGGGAGTCTCTATGCCTTCTCCCGCAGGACCTAATTCTTCATCTTCATACTTGTCTGCTTCCTTTCCTGGTGCATCTCCCACCATAAGTCATACTGATCTTCCCTGGCGCGTGACGACACCGTCTACTGCATCTACTCATCATGTTGGATCATTTGCGTCTTCATCTCAGTCCAAGTTCCTGCTCCATGTCATACCACCTCTTCACCTCCTTCACGACTTCGATGCGTCCGACCCATTGGAGCCTGCGCCTCCTCCTAATGCATCAGGATATCACACACAGTTCCGACGCGGCACCCTCGTCTCCCTGCAGCCCTCGCTGCATGCGCAACTTAATGCAATTGCCAAAGAATATGCATTACCTAGCACAATCGGCCTCATCCTGTACCTTATTACCACTTCCCCACAGAGCCGCCAGAACAGTCCAATGCCTTATGCCACCCCTAATTCAGGAAACGAGGACGCAGAGGAACCAGGTCCACGCATCTCCGAAGAAATCTGGAAACATATCTGGGGTCGGGTTCTGAAAGCTGAGCGTGAAGAATCTCTCGCACTTTCGCGGGGACAAGGCTCTAGTCCTTTCGGTCTGGGCCTAGGACTAGACTCAACGGGACAGCCCAACTTACGCCCTTTGGTCACCCCCACGCGGACGGAAACGCCGCAACCGCAACCTATCACATACCCAATTACTCCTTCGTCTACCACGTCTTCAGTATCCGATCTTCGGTCTCACTCTAAATCTACCCCTCTATCATCCTCATCACTGACACACTCGGAACCAGATACCCCAGATACCTCCCGTTCTTCTGATCACGAAATACTTGGCATCGGCCTCCCAGGTCTTAATTCACCCTCCATAATACCTATACTTGCGAAAGTAGAGTTCGATATTGATCGACGGAGAGCAACGTGGTACGAGCCATGGTTGCGTGGCCGTCGAATGACCCATGCTAAACGTGCCGAGAGTCGTCAAAGTAATCAATCACATTCTCAACCACATGCGGAAGGAGATGGGGATGAGAAACGTGTGCCGTTCGATTTAAAATTAGTGGAGAGGATGCAGAATGCAAGCTCTGTGCCCAGCTTTACTGCGTCACTGTCTTCAAGGGAGGAGGGTGGCACTGGTTGGTATGCTCCCCTGCCAGATCCTACGGACGAACCACTCGAAGAAGATACAATAAGAGAGGAGGGTGTCACTGCTCCCCTGTCGGACTCTACGGATGAAGCAATTGAAGAAGACACAATCATGGAGGAGGGCGGCACTGGTGGGTATGCTCCTTTGCCGGGTTCCACCGAAGCAATTGAAGAAGGCACAACAATGGAGAAGAGCGGCACTAGTGGGTATGCTCCCCTGTCAGATTCGATGGACGAACCAATTGAAGAAGGCACGACAATGGAGGAGAGCGGCACTAGTGGGTATGCTCCCCTGTCAGATTCGATGGACGAACCAATTGAAGAAGGCACGACAATGGAGGAGAGCGGCACTAGTGGGTATGCTCCCCTGTCAGATTCGATGGACGAACCAATTGAAGAAGGTACGACAATGGAGGAGAGCGGCACTAGTGGGTATACTCCCCTGTCAGATTCTACGGACGAAGCAGTTGAAGAAGACACAGCAATGAAGGAGAGCGGCACTAGTGGGTATGCTCCCCTGTCAGATTCGATGGACGAACCAATTGAAGAAGGCACAACAATGGAGGAGAACGGCGCTGGTGGTGTTTATGCTCCCCTGTCGGATTCGAGGGATGAACCGATTGAAGAAGGCACAATAATGGAGGAGAACGGCGCTGGTGGGTATACTCCCCTGTCAGATTCCACGGACGAAGCAGTTGAAGAAGACACAGCAATGGAGGAGAGCGGTACTGGTGGATATGTTTCCCTGTCAGATTCCACGGGCGAAGCGATTGAAGAAGACACAACAACGGAGGAAGGTGGCCATGGCGGGTATATTCCCCTGCCAGATCCTACGGATAAAGAAGTTGATGAGAACATAACTACATGCGAGACTGACATCTGTCATCATGATCCTCTTGCGGACATCTTCGGCAGTGATGCAGACACCTGGGCTGAGATGCGCGCTGAATCGCAGGGCAATCAGCTCGAGGTCAATCCAAATATAGTCGAGCTTGCATTGGATGTATCCTCAATTGCTGCTATGCCTGAACAGGAACAAGCGGGAGATGAGGTGGATGATGCCCAAGAGGTTTGGGATATTATGCGCAGGATGTCAAAGCCTACGTTGACCTTGTCGATACCATCTTCACCGAGCTCGCAGCAACTGTCGTCATCCCCCGCAGGAAGTGCTAAGAAATCACCTCCCCATCCTTTAGTCCTTGCTCCCAACGACACAAGAAATAGCCTCGTCCTGCATACTGGCCCGAGCCCGATCCTATCATCCTCCAGTAGGGATGACAGTACGAATCTGCCTTATGAGCATGCAAGTTCAAGAGGGACGCCGGTCGAGGATGAGACAGGTGATGATGATGAA